TCTTTGTATTTCCCTTGTTTCCTCCATCCTTCCTAGGCATCTGTGTTCTAGCTAGCATAGCTGCATTCTCATTAGGTTCCACATAAAAAACTTGAACCTCCTTCTGCTTCTGAACCCTCGTTATCATTGAGTATGCTTTATCGACTGAGGGAAAGGGATCCATTAGAAACTGCATCAGACGATTAAAAAATGTGAGATCTGCTACCGCCTTTGCAGATCCACAAGTGCATTCAGGTATTGGCATTAAAACAGTCAAATCATCCTAAAGTTTCTTAAGTCTAGTATAATACTATGTAGAAGTCATCGTTCCATGAGTAGTGGAACTAATTTCCCTTTGTATTTGGTAGAGAAGAGGTCCATTACTCTCTCCATACCTTTCCTCTAATTCACACCAAAGCTCTCTTGCAGTAGAAGTGTATAAGAAGGCTTCTACTAGGTCCTTTGATATTGAGTTTAAAATCCAGGAGGTTACCATACAGTTAACCCTATTCCATTGATCATAAATTGGTGAATCCTTTTCTGGTACCTTATAACTCCCATCTATGAGTCCCAACTTCATTTTAGCTCATAGAGCAATTTTAACAGATCAACTCCAAGCTAAAAAGTTCTTATCAATTAAAGGTGCAGTGACCAAAGCCATACCTGGATGGTCTGAGTTGTGCAGGAAAAGTGGATATCCATTATTCACTGCGTTTTGATCTTTCTTCAAGCTTGTTTCAACCTCTGTTTCATCTCCTTCAACTACAACTTCTTGTKCATTAGCCATTAYTGTAGCTGCAATAAGGTTGTTGTATTGCTTAATCAAGCAAAAAAAAAACCAAGACGAATCCTTCGTCTTCAAATCTTCAATACCTCTCCCTAGATTGCTTTGATACCATGAGCAAAGATAGAATGAAGAGAAGGAAAAGCTCTGTAAAATATTATTCCATAAGCTAATGAATAACAAAGGTCCTTCTCTCTACATATATATACAAGCTAACAAAAAAGAATGATGTAGAAAATAACAAACTCTCTAACAAACTTGCCACCTCACCCTATAAAATAAAAGAACAATATAAAGCTAATAACTAACTAAATGATATGTTGTAATGAGCTGTGAGCGGCACTGAATATGCAGGAAGGATATATAGGTATTGTACAGAACTTTCTTGTTAGACTTGATCTTAGAGAGAGGTAGTGAGACCACTTCTTCTAGGGGACGTCCTTGATTATTGTCAGGCTCTTCAAGTGGGTCGAGGTTGAGGTCGATCGATATGACAACTTAGAGTGCATGTAAGATAGGGCAGCCCAATATCACATTGTAGGGCGATGGAGTGTTAACAACTAAGAAATCATTAATCAATGTTGTCCTATTTAGTGTGGTTACCACTATTACCGGTAGGCTTATCTTTCCAATTGGTCAAACTACATCCCCACTAAAACCGACTAGAGGTACATCAGTTTGAACGAGATGCTTTGGATCTAGGTTCATCTTCTTAGAAGCTTCAAGAAAAGGAATGTTAGCTGAACTACCACTATCAATTAGAATTCTCTCTTGTAGTAAGCATTGACCATCTTCACTACTAGGGCATCATCACGGGGTAGGTGGACACCTCTCAGGTCTCTATCACTAAATGAGATCACCTCTTTAGTCCTCATCTGCTTTGGAGTTAGGTTGCTTTTTTCGAACTACAACTTGCAAATTGACGCTCTGTCGGCTGTCTAGCTGCATTTGGCCACCATGGACTTGACAATGATCATCATGATCACGCTGGTGAACACTTGTTCCCTAGCCTCTTTCTGCAGGTTTCTTGATTACTCAACAGGTCAGGCATCCTTCTTGATGAATTGCTTTAGGTTGCTATGCCGAATTAGCTCCTCATTCCCATTCTTTAGATCCCAACAATACTCAGTGTCATGCCTATTGGCCCATTGAAACTAGCAGTACCTTTCTTGGTTTTTGTTTATTGGGTTGCCCTCATGCATGGCGGCTACTTCAAGTAGTCTGTCTTCTTGATCTACATTAGGATCTCCCACCTCTTAGCATTCAGTGATGTAAAAGTATGGTACCTTGCGGGGGGAGTATGGGAGTGCTTGGTTGGTGATTGAGATCATTTGGATGATCTCCCTTCACCTCAGCTCCGCTTGTAGTTGCTTTTGCCTTGGTCTACATTAGGATCTCCCACCTCTTAGCATTCAGTGGTGTAAAAGTATGGTACCTTGCGGGGGGAGTTTGGGAGTGCTTGGCTGGTGACTAAGATCGTTTGGCCGATCTCCCTTCATCTTAGCTCTACTTACAGTTGCTTTTGCCTTGGCCTTCGTCTCTATCCTTTCTTTTCTTTTTGTCCCCTTGGTCTCCTTGTGCACAAATTACCTCTTCATCATTCATATATTTTATTAGCATGGTTGAGGAAATCCTCCATATTCTAGGGTAGATTTTTAGCCAAGGAGAATTGTAGATGGCGGCCCTTGACTCTGTGGATGGCTATTGCAATCGGTACTGTTAAATAGAGCTCACGAACATGGAGGGTCTTTGAGTTGAATCTCTAGACATACTTACGGAGGCTCTCTTCTAGTCATTGAATGTTCATGTGGCTAGTAACGGTCTTCGGATGTTGGCGGCTAGTGGAAAAGTGGGTCACGAAGAGATCGAAAAACTGCTCCTAACTCTTTATAGAGCCCAATGCAAGTCCCGAATACCATATCTGAGCTGTTTGGTGGAACATGGTTGGGCCAGTCATGTTCTTGCCTCTAAGGCCTGCGTGTAGCAAAATGAGAGCTTGGAAGCTCTTGACACGGGTGACTGGGTCAGCGGTTCCATCGTAGGACTCCAATGTCAGCATCTTGAAATCCTTAGGATGTGGTACCGAAAGGATCTCAGGTGTTAAAGACGATGCCCTAGTAAGTCTAGGCACTCAAGGTATCAAATCTATTGGGTTCATGATCTCTAGAGGGGCTAACGTGGTGGTCTTCTCTGGTTCACGCTGAGGGCATCTCCTATACCGATCTTCCTGGGAACCCGTCATAGGGGGCAAGTTGTCAAACATGTGGGAAGAGGTTGCTCTGCTTCCCCTCTTCCTCAGGGACATACATGCGGTCTCACTACTTTGATGTATGGGTCTAAGAGAGGTTGTCTCGGTTGTCACAAGGAGATGGTGGTGGAGGAACTTTCGGCGGCTCGACCTATCGATCATGCTGGTTTTGTGGAGGCTATTCCCTTGTAGGTGCCACGGGCTGCTGGGTGTCCCATTGCGACGACATGTTCTTCTCAGGCCTGAATGTGAACATCCATACTCCAAACCAGGCACACTAGGTCCTCAAACTGCTCACTTTTCACTCTCCTTAGTGCTGAAGAGGGCTTGACATTCTGGAATTGCCCCCCAGAGGAGGATCCACCAACTTGAGCTTCCTTGTTCTTAGCTAAAGACATTGTGATGAGTGAAAAAGAATGAGCAGGAGTGACCTTTACGTTCAGTGTCCCATTGCGACGACATGTTCTTCTCAGGCCTGAATGTGAACATCCATACTCCAAACCAGGCACACTAGGTCCTCAAACTGCTCACTTTTCACTCTCCTTAGTGCTGAAGAGGGCTTGACATTCTGGAATTGCCCCCCAGAGGAGGATCCACCAACTTGAGCTTCCTTGTTCTTAGCTAAAGACATTGTGATGAGTGAAAAAGAATGAGCAGGAGTGACCTTTACGTTCAGTGTTCTTACAGACGATGTCAATTGATGAGGGTCAATCTACTTTGAATCTCTAATTGCAATGATAACTCAGATATCGTTTGGAGATGTCGGTAGGTCAAATTTGCAAGACAAGAACATGTCAAAGAGACTGGGGGATGACCCGGGCAAGGGACTCCAACGGTCAACTTAGCACCGAACTGACGAAGTGGGTGGAAACTGATGAGTGAGAAATCAGAGTAGAGAGCTAGTATGCAAAAAAAAAGTGAGTGTACCTTCTGAGGGTAAGAGATCACCCTTTTATAGACTTTGAGGCTCGCTTGAGACATGTTTGACACGTTTGGAGATGATAAGGTTTTTTCGTCCATTGTTTATGGAGTACGTCCGCACGACAACGTGGTGCCCCTTATCCGGTTCCCTGTGAAACTGAAGGAACTAGGTTTATTGTTGCTAGGTGGGCATCGTGTTCACACACATTTTAGGGGTGCTAAGTGGTGCTGGTGGATAATGAGGGACGTTTCATGTAGGTTGGAATCATCCAAGGTTGGCGTGATCCCTCAAGTCGCGGGTTGCCTAGGTTAGAGAGGAGTAGATATGTGTTCAAGACAATCAGTGGACGTGGATAAGCAAATCTGCTGATCTGCTCTTAAGCAATGCCAGAGCTACTCTAGGTGGCATAAGTCAAATCTGTTGAGGAGCATTCAAGTGAGGTCAACCCGAAGTGACTAATTTCTTTCTTCACATGATAATGGAAAAACTTACAACCAATCCACCATCATCACAAAAGTAGAAACCAATCAGGTGGGTTTTTATCAAAATTCACAGCGGGTTGTGATTGGCCAAAACCTTTACGGTAGATGTCTTTCCGGCATCATATATTTTCCCTTCTTTTTTTTGGGGGGTAGTCCAACCCCCCAAACCCATTAATCCCAACCCTATCGCATGTGGGATTCGACCCCAAGTCTCTGGCACCTTGCGGATATATTGGCAACGATGGATGAGTCCCACCTAAGAAATCCTTAATTACGAAAAGAAATCATATCAATCAGATTATTTTCAACCATTTGATCTTTTACATGATTTTATCAACTTTTTGGTGTACTTTGAACACTTAGAACCCATTCCTGGGTGCATCAAAAGTAATCATAATTGAAGAGAATTCAAATGTATATAAAGATTATTTTTAACATTATAAAGGGTTTTGATCTGTTCTTTCAAACTTTCCAGTGGGAAAGATGCTCTGGAAAAGTTTCCTACTGGTTGTATCCTAATACAAAGAGTACACGGATTAAACAGGAGCCTCATGATATTTTATATATTGATACGAGAGAGAGAGAGAGAATTTAATAGTACTGATAGTTACATCTTGGGGAGTCGGTGTCTCGGTGATAGTAACACCTTGAGAAAATAAGAGTACATCTCGGAAGGAGACTTCATACAATCAATAGTGAAGACTCAGGACCAGAACTTATCTCTGAAGAAAACTTCCCGTAATAGGAAAATACATGTACAGAGCTAGAAAGACCAAATATTTGTAGTGTCGTGTTGAACTTTTACAACTTCGAGTGAATCCAAATGACAAAATATCAGTAAACCCCCCACTAAAATAAAAGAGAAAAAAAAAACATACATGCATCAAATAGTAATCTCTTCAGATATTCAATAATGGTTCCACAGAGATGGCAAACCCACTTCAGATAAGTAGCTCTCGGAGCTTCCTTCTCCAAAGCTTGGTGAAAGATCCACCTTTGGATTGCTTTCCAGCTTGTTGAGATGACTCAAGACAGCTTTTATGACCTTCTTATCGCAAGAGAAAGGGTTTAAACCAGTACCCATATCTGGTATATTCCCCAAGTTGTTTAAAGCTTTGGTGGGTATGTTTGGTTCAATTTGAGCGAGTTGTGACAAGGTCGGGTTGGTCATGAGAACCTGGGAAAAATTGGAGAAGCAGGGCACTTGCTCAAACTCCTCTAGATTTGCTGGAGTTTGGTCAAAGGTGATGAAGGAGTCCATTAATGGAGGGAGTGATGAAGAGCCTGTGTCATCATAGCAGTTCTCCACGCTAGGTTTGGCAGAATGGCCTCTGCTTTTGAAGAATACTCTGCATAAGACCCAATCTTCCTGCTTGGACATCCATGAATATGAAACCCAAAGATATGTCAAAAACTTCACATTGATATAATCTAAGAGAATAGTATAGTAGTTGCAAAAATAAGCTCTTAAAGCTGTGTTTGGTTGGGTACAGAATTAAGAGAGACAACTCCTAATGAATTTTCTACCAAACCAAACATGAACAAATGAAATCCAGACCAGGCCAGAAGTGGACTGGATAATGGGGTTCAGTCAGGCTGACCCGGTTCGGGACATTGACATGACTTGTGCCCAAAATGGAATAAAATAGATAACGCAAAAAAGTTTTTCTCCAGCGGTTCAACAACTGTAAGTTTGACCGGTTTGACTGGTCAACTGATTGATTGGGGGGATTGATCCGGCTTGGTGGATGGTGTACGTACGATCCGACAAAACCATATTCAAGTGTTGTGGTGGTGATAAGCCAATGTTTATTCCTGAATATATATGGTCAAATCACCCAACAACCCGTATAAAATAGTTGGAAAGGATTTGGGCTACACAACAACAGACGAGACTTCGTTCACCAAATAAAAAATCAATAGACGAGCCTTCGTTGTGATGACGGAAGTGGATGTACACAAAGGCTAAGGACAAAATATTATGGGAACCTTGTTTGTTCTTGGCGGACTTTGTTCCGTTTTGTCCATCTGGGGCTCTGGGCAGTTGGGACTTGGGAAGATAGACTAAACATTATTTAAAACTATTAACATTTCTCTAAACGATATCTAAAACTAATAGAAAAGCTCAATTAATGAAGAAAAAAAATAACAGAAAAGCTCAATTGAGGGAGAGAGAGAGAACCTGAGAAGAAATTTTTGGTGGGTCAGAGGGTCCTTCAACCCGGAATTCATGCATGACCCAGTCAGTTTTTCTTCCTTTGGGTGCCCTCCCTTGGTAGAAAACTAGGGTCTTTCTCATACCAACCAGGGTCCCTTTCCGGTTAATTTGCCGGTCTTTTCCGGTAGCCTTCCAGTATCCAGAAACCGTTGCACGATTGGTTCTCAGGCCGGTAGCATATTTCCGATCTCGTTGGCTGAAGAAGTACCATTCTTTTCCCCCCACACAAGCCATTTCTGAAAGATATATAGAAGATTAATTGTGAAATCAGTTTTCAGTGCTTAATTGGGTCAGTGATTATACAGAGAAATTAGGTCTTTCTTTTTTTTTTCAAGGCTAAGAACAAACACGTAACTCTGATCCACCCTTCAGTTTTAATTTCCTTCTTTAATTAGTAGGAGCCAATAATTTGGGGAGCCAATAAACACATTATATATTACTTGGACACCAGACTAGAGACCTAACCCAGACGTCACATTCAACAACCTAACCATTATTCATGCTGTGGTCATAACTTAACCAAATCAAAAATTCGTTCAGGATTTTCAGATTAATTGAAAGCCGTTAGGGTTTGAGGTTCCATCATCTTACTGTGCTAAATGAAGGTCAATTACTAGACCACCTAAAGTTTGGCTCTTTATTATCGTCATTATCTGACCCACCTATGGATACTTCCAAACTCCGGCTAGTGCCGGAATCTGACCCACCATCAATTAGAATTCTAAAAGCTAATTATTGCTAATTATGAATAATGACCCCCCCCCCCCCCCCTAGCGTAGATATGTAATTAACAAGTGACAAATACGTGTGTGGTTATCGTGGTTTATATACAATATGAAGTATCTTCACTGTATTTTTCAGTCACAGTCACCATCTTTTTTGGTTAGGACAAGGCCAAAGTGTCAACTACTAATAGTTGCAAATTTAAACTAGAATTCAGCTAAAATATCTACCAGTAGAATTAATCTAATTTAGAAAAAATAAAATAAAAGAAGAACAAAAGGTGTAGTGGTGTAATTGGTTATCATTATCATCAGGTTAGATTTTATTAACTGGTGCCCAAAGCCAATAGATTTTCATTGTTGTTCTTTTCTTTTTTTCTTCTGGTGAGGATTGATGGAGGTTGATTGGAGAGGAAGTAATTTCTCCTCCCTTTGTACGGAAAACTGTATCTTACCTAAAAGAGAGAAATCATTTAATTTAGTATTTAACAGAGGCTATGACTTCAAAACCTTCAAAGCTTCAGTAGGGATATACAGTTAGGATGATGAACATGAAAAGCTCAGGAAAAAGAAGAAGAGTGAAACACACATGAAGTTCTGTATATCCATTGCATGATCTCTCAAAACTCCACAGAGAAAAGGAAAATAAAGCTGAAGGGTCATGTTAGAATCATCAAAACATGGAGGAAACTGAAGGAAGACAAAACTGCACAAATTAAAAAACCCAAACGCACTTTGTTTTGTCAAATAGATAACTGATAATTACGAGGATTTTAGATGAAGAAGAAGAAGAGTTGGGTGGATCCATCTGAGGCTCAGTCTCAAATCCTTAAAAGATCATTTTATCAAACTCCAATTTTGATTTAACATCGCAAGTCAAAACATATATATAGAGAGAGAGAGAGGTGGATAAGAATGATGCCATGATCGTCAGCTTATGAAAGTCGTCGGAATGGAAACAGAAACGTTTAGATGATGATGGTAGTAGTCTCACCTGGAAGGTCCCAGGGTTCGCACTTGTTCAAATCGACCTCGATCAGCAGAGGAGAGTCGTAAGAGCTTCCCTTTCCATGATGATTGCCTATTATCCTCTTCATCAAATAATCACATACAAGCTCTTCATCTCTTGGATGGAACCTGAATCCTGGAGGCAACTTTGCCTCCACCATGCTTAGAGAGCTCATCCTCCTCCTACACCCTCCACCTCACCTGCTAGAACCAGAACAACAGCTTGCTAGAGAGAGAGAGAGAGAGAGAGGGGGGGGGGCAAAGAAGTGAGATCTAAAATAAGGGTCTCTAATGGGGTATAAAAGAAAGCAAGTGAGATCCCATATAAGGGACTCAAGATGGGTTATAAATAATATGGGTAAGTCAACTCATATTGCGCGTAAGGCATGGATTTGAATAGTCATCTTTAGAGAGAGAGAGAAGTTTCTCTCTCCTCTTTTACACCCAAAATAAGAGAGAAGTTTCTCTCCCTAGAGTCCAAGAGAAAGAGGAGGGGGAAGCCAACCTGTAAGAATGACGTGGCCTCACCAGTTAATGCCAATTTTCTGACGTGGAATTTGGGTGGTGGGGGGAGTTCAATCTCCGAAGGCGTTGTTTTCTTCCTCTATTGATAGACTTGGCACTATCATCACCGGTATGGCAAAATGATGGACCTACACGTAGCTGATTTCATCAAAAGAAGTGTCCCTTTCCTTCTGAGCTCTTTGGACAATTCCTCCTCCGCCTCAATACGTATTAGTCACACGTAGTATTGTGGGCAACTGGGTTCCTCAATTTGCCATCTTTTAAACCACAATCTTAATAAAATTACCAAGGTTTATAAAACCGGACTGGATAGGGAATCGTTCTGGTCTGGTTCTCGGGTCAAACGGTTTGACCATCTAATCCAAATGGATGGCCCGTTCTGAGAAAAAAAAAAAAAAAAGATAAAAATTTAAAAACTAAGTCTGCATCTCCCTCTCCAATCTTCCAACCCATCCAACAGTACTCGTTATATAGCTGTCCTACAAAACTAAGTCTGCATCTTGGTCTTGTTGCACTGCATATTTGAAAACGCCACATTCCTGCATTTGGGGGCGCATGGCACAGCACAGGGCCCAAACAGGTTGCACCACCACCTACTCTCTTACATATAGGTTCAGGAAAGTTCGGTTTACTGTAAAACGACCTTGCCATTTCACCATCTTTGGTGAAAATTACCATTTATTGTCTCAGTTTGAGACATCTTGACAATTTGCAGCCTCTAGTTTGGAAATAGTTTGCATTTAATGCCCCATTGTAAAAGTGGGAAATGGGCATAAATCAAATCAGGCATTCTCCTCTTGTGGTTTCAAAAAATTAACACCTTAATATACAAAAAGAAAATATAGCCATCTTTGTACTGTTTACTGCCTAATTTTTAATATATGAAAATGACATGGACCCATTGAATATATAACATCTTTGTCTGATACAAACTTGAAATAAATTAGTCTCAATAATTGAGGACACAAATGTAATTACACAGTTCAGTGCTCTTAGAGGGACCAACTTAAATGTAGAAGACAAAATGGGTAGGAGATAGATATGAGATATCCCCACTTTGACAAAACTCCCCAAGAGGTTTCTCAACAATACTTTCAACTTTGAAGTAGAGAGGCATTTTGTATTTTGTACAGAGTACCTTGCTTTGAAGGATATTCAGAGTTGTTATTAGCTTCTCCATTTGTGATAGTTAAGTCTCTTGTCATGTTGCTCAAAGTTACTAGGATTATCCAAAACTCCTTGTCAACACCATGAAAATGGAACTACAATAACAGGTGTTGCCTAGCAGGACAAACATCGCTCGATTGGGGACACGTAAAGGCCTTGAGGAGATGCCACGTGTCCATGAAAACGACTTTGTCGACGTGACAAGTTATACCAATTGATGCCATGACTGTTAACAGCTAGCATTTATCTTTTGCCTTTCGATAACATTATAAGGCCTAAGGCCATGTTTGGGAGTGTTTTTTCAACAGGAATTCCTGTGCTTTCATGTTGGGGAAGTCAAAAGTTAGCAATGCTTTAAAATTTGACTCGTAGTTGAAATTGGAATCGTTTTAGCCACCAGTTTTTGGGTCAGTGGTTTGACCGTCCGATTTGAATGGACAACTTCTTGTAATTTAAAAAATAAAATAAAATAATCAAAATAAAAAAAAATCAAAAACTGTTGTTCGGGTGGTGAAACGGAACCTATTACTTGGATGGTTTTTGGGGTGAATGGTCCGACCATCTAGGTCAATGGCAGTTCTAAAACATTGGCCAAAATTCGGTCGAAAAGTTATTTTGAACATAATAAAAAACTCCTTTCAACTTGTCATGTTTGCAAGAAGTTATTTTGAACATAAAAAAAAAAAAGAAAAGAAAGAAAAACTGATGATCAGTCAATCATTAAAAATCCATTTCCAAAAATACCCATTTCAAAAAGTGGTATTATCAGAATCCTTTTTAAGCCAGAAAGCACTTTATCATCTCTCTCCCTATATATATAAGCTTGTAAAATTAATTGTAGTTCATTGTTTCAGAATTGACACTTAGTAAATATATCATGAGATCTGTACTGAAGTAATTATTTATAAGCAACTGTTCAATATATCAAATATATATTGAAACCAACTCTTTATTAAATTAAAACAATAAGATATGGCTAATTTAATCCACATGTCGATAATTTATTTTTGTTTTGAATAGAAGTCTTGATTAGTCAAGATTATTTATTATAATTGGATGATTCTTTCATTTGTGAAAATAGCTTCTGCACCTACCGATTTTATATAGTCATTCAAGGGAACTGCCATAGCTGAAGAGAATAATATCAAAGATTACGGAACCAAACAGGTTTCAAGGAATTGCCAATTGGGGATGCTGCCACCAGCATAAAATGTCAAACTACTAAACAAGAATTTGAAAAAGGGATGGGTAGTTTTCAAACTCATCATAGGCATTAGAATCAGGGTTTTCTTTAAAGAATAGTTTCTCCAATCTTTGAATTGCTAAGGTTGAGGCTGGGGACCATCAACCTGGCACATACGACCCTTAGGAGTAGAATTACTATATAAGGTGGTGTTTGGTGCGTCTTTTTGGCATGCCTTTTGGTCTGCAGAAAGTTCAAAAATACTGTAAGCAGATCTTTTTCCATTTGATATCATATAGACTGAAAGATCCGAAAAGAAGCATGTGGAAAGACTAAAGAAGCCAAAAATCGAAAAGCTTCAAATGAAGTTTATAGTCTTTAATGCTGAAAATAGCGGTTTTAGCGGTTTTTAACAGCCCAGTAGACCATGATGCAAACCAAATAGTCTTGGTCTTTAAAACAAGACCCTAAAAGCTCAGTGCATCTTATTTATAAGGCTATTAAAAAGTCTTCTACCTAAAAAGAAATGCCAAACAGCCCTCAAAATTTAAAGGTCCAACATGGTTATGGATGTAAATGGGTAGGGCTAAGTGATCGATAAACCAACTCTGCCCGACCCTATTGGGTTAGAGTTGTATCTATCTCGACTAAATCGGGTTCGGGCTGACTGTGCCATGCAAAACATCTACATTGTAGCATTAAAATATTTGTAAATATGAAGTTGGTTAACCATAAATGCACTATATGTATAATGGGGTGAGGTGGGTTCCGTATTCTATTTTATTGTTGGATAGGGTCGGATCTGGATTGAGAAAATTGGTACTAAACCCGACCCGTTGGCATCACCATGCAAATCGTCCCTTTGGTGCCTAACGGAAGCCAGCCTAAACCATTGTGACATCACTGAACCATCTTCACAGTGTTGTTGAAGCTTCGGTTTCAATTTTTAAATAAAATTAGTTATAGCTAAACGACGGATTAATCACAAATAAGTTCTGTTTGGCGGTGCCCACCATCCCAACATGTTTCATGTAACATCTCTATCGGCCCACTGTATCTACTTTTATAATCAATTATGGTTAGATTTGAGTTCACATCTACCCCTACAGAATACATCCTAAACGTTTCACAACACATTCTAACTGTGTATTAAGAATATCTCCCAATGACAAGTATAGGAGATGTTCTCAATGCACGCTGAGATGTGCATGTGAGGCGTTTAACACATTCTGCGGGAACAAATGTGAACTCCCATTTGAGATGTCTGAGCTGAAGATTCAACTAACCTAATTTCAGCTGCTTAGTTTGAAGCACCTCCGAGAGACTGAGTAGGGACTGCCCTTTCAATGACGAACTGACATTCAAATTTGGCCTCTCTGGATATTTCCATCAAACATGGCTTATAGGCTGTCTGTGTAGGGCTCACCTCAGAAAAGCCAAAAGCTACTTCATTTCAGCTCTCTCAAACAAGAGAAAGGTTCTACAACCAACACAAATGTGTAAACCACACTACATGATCAATCAATCACAAGTGAACATGCCACTTTGCAGCAGATCCCACTCTTCCATTCATCCAAACAAGCACTTAATCTTTTATTTTTCTCTAAAACGAAAAGGACTACACAAAACCGGAGATAACACATCTCCAAATATCACAAAAAAATAAATAAATTCCAAGTCCCACAGAAGCTCATTAACTACCTAATGAATTAATCAATTCATCGCTAGATTAGCTCTACGATAAACATAGCCGTATTTGACATTATAATTCATCTAGGCACTGCTTGATTTTTTAATTACCATATAAGAAACTGTTTTCACCCTTAAAAGCTAGTTGTTAGAGGGAGGGAGCCCAAACACACTTATACCCCACAACAACATCGCATACTACCCATGCGTGATGTAGCTGATATGAGATACCTTACATTAACATCCCATACTACCGACATAGAACAAATGGATCATAACAAAAACCTCTCATATTCTTGATAATCCAATTGCCAATTTAAATTAGGATTAGATGCTAATTAATTAATCACTTCTTAGACGGTTGCTAACTTCTTGGGACCTTTGGGAATGGAAGAATTAGGAATTGGGTGGGTCAAATTAGTTAGGTAAAAAGATTAGTGCAACCATTAACTGTCCCTTTCATTCCAACCTACCATATTAGAAAACTTTGTTTAAAACCGTGTATTGATATAGCCATGTTCCCACTTATAGATTGAATAGAAGATGATCTGAAAGGCATATTTAGGGTAGGACTGTAACCAGGTTGGATTCGGATCTGATCCAAATGCATCCGAGTTTGACCCAATTATCAAAAACCCAAATATATCTTAACCCGAACTGATCTAGGGGTTCTAATTGAGATTGAACTAATTGAATTTTTTACTTTTTCAGATATAATCCAAGTTGAACGGCCATTTTTGAAATAAAAGAAAAAAAGAACTAAAA